CTGAACCATCAAGGAAACCACTTTCCTCACATTGCTGAGGAACCCTAAGAGGTACCAGAGCATAACACCAATGTTCCTGTTTCCCAAGAGCTGGCTGAGTAAGCCCAGACCAGGACCAGCTCAGCCACCACACTAATGCTTCGTGCTGCAGTATGTCTTGGACAGAAACGGAGGGGGTCTCCAGCCCAAAGGAGGACAATCAGGTTCCTTTTCCTGAGGCTCTTTTGGTGTTGGATGAGAGTCTGGCCTGAGATGACACAGGGTTCTTCTATGGCAGTGCTCCACTGAAGGTGGCAATGGGTAAACAGAGGAGAGAATGAAACTCAGAGGAGTCTTGGGGAGGCAAAGAGGACCTTCTCAGTGCAAAGACATCACTGTCCCTGGGTTTGTAGCACACAGAGATCTCACACCTGCAGAGAAAAAAAAAGCAACCAAGATATAAGTAAGGGTGTGACTGAGAATCACAGTCCTAAGGTGCAGCAGAAATATCTGCAAACAAACAGGAACCTGTACAGTCTTTAATAGGACTGGAGTTTGAGTGCTGAGAGTTCGGGTCTTTAAGCTGGCCCAGGTTGGGATCTAGAGCAGACATCCACAAAAAGTAATTTCTGAAACTCATTAGGGAAAACAAGAACTTTTGCACCTCCCAAGTTTTGGGGAAAGGTAAGTAGCTCCTTTTCTGTTTCATGCACTGAACTCTCCCAACAGCCCCTTGAGTTGCACAACAAACAAGTTAAGTAAAACACTTCTCTCCAGGGTTACTTAAGAAATAAGATCTGAAATCTTTTTCCACTAGAGGCAGAATAACTTTTCAGGGTTCTGCTCTCTCTGAGGGAGAAATTAAAATGCTTGCACATTTTTAAGACCCATTGATTAACTGGTCTGATCTCTTTGTGCTCATGGAAGTATGTTGTCTACAGTGAGTTTTCAAATTCCATCACCTGGGGAGCCAGCTTGGTGCCCTGGGAACACAACTGATGGATGAACAGTCAAATGAACAATTCTTGCTCTACTCCAGTCTCTCCCATGAAGACCCTGGGTTCCTTCTGCAATGGGTATGCCAAAGGTAGCGGACAGCCCAAATGAAGTTTAGAAGTTGAAGGCTCTGCTTTTATGCTCCATGCTCTTCAAACACCTCATTTATGTTGCATACCTTTCCTCTGGCCTTACTGAAAGAGCTGTCTGTACAGAGTTTAACAGCTGACTGGGGACCACTCTGTAGGCTGTGGCAGTCAGGAAGATAAACTGCTGCTGGGATCTGAGCAGGACCACCCATCCCATCTGAGCTCAGCTGCACTACAGGGCTTGGAGCTACATCACCCAGCTTGGGCATCTGGCATAGATCCACAGTGGTGCTCAGAACCTTGTCCCCCTTTGGCCACCCATGCTTCATGGACAAGTCCTTGCACACAGGATGCACCATCCCAGGAGCACTGACTGCAGAGGCCAGCTTGCCGTGTTGCAGTTCCTACCTGGTTACACTCTGTAGGATCTTCTGCTCATCCTGGTCCAGGCACACAGCGAAGGAAGACTGGAGACTGATAATCTGGACCTTGTCTACCTTTATCTGGGACACACTGATCTGCTGATAGAAAAATAGTGGATGTGAGGAAGCTGCCAGGCTCAGTGCACTATCCCTGTGCAGGGAAGGGGAGCAGGGCAGCTGGGCACCCCTAAGGCAGGCTTGATGGCCAACAGCAAATGGATCCCCCAGGGAGCTACTGTCTCCTGCTCTGCTTCCCTCCCAGTTGGGTCAGGCTGACAATCTGTTACCAAACATAAAAGCACCATGATTTGAGTTACCTGATTGAAACTTTTTTTGGATTTGGAGTTTTGCCTTTTAACCACCTCTGTCATGGTCAAGTTGAGACACTCTGTCTTTGAGGCTGTAACAAAAGAAAACTGTTATTACTTGGAGCTTCTGGACCACTGGTGGGCACCCAAAGTGGTCCCTCCGCTCCTCAGAGCACCCCAGAGACAGTGGTTCTCAGCAGGACCCCACTGTCAAGGGAAATACAACACAGTCCTAGCTCTCCTTCCCCAGCGCTCACCTACGTGGAAAGAAAGAATTGGAGAGACAGAGGTGAATTTCGGAGTCATTTCCAACAGCTTTCCAAACACAGCAGTAAAGGGCATCTAACTCTCTCAGGACCTAAGCAGGAGAAAACCCATTGCCCCATCCTCAGGAGGAAACTGCAGCTCTCCCAGCATGGCCTTTGCTGCAACCCACCTGGAGATGCTTTTTCGAGTCTGTGACAGTGACATCCTGTGGTCAAACTGCTGAATGTGAAAACCCAACAGGGACAATCAGGGGGACCAGGTTTCTGTTGGAAGGGACTCATGAAAGAGAAGCTTCTCCCAGGTGTGGAACTAAGGACACTCCCTGAACCAACTCACTGTGCTGCCAGCACAAGCAAAGCTCCTGAACTAGGGCAGAAACACCCAACTCAGAATTTACTGAGGAGCTGAGAAATTAATTCTTTAGGGTTGTCTGCATGGCTTCATGGATCAGGTAGCAACAGGAGGGACAGAGGTTTAGGCTGAGCCCCGTAGTGCATGTAGGAACTGTCTCCTCTTTGGTGGGTTACCCGTTTGCCCTAACTACTCTGCTCACAAACCACACATCTGCCAGACACAAAGCATGCAAAGAAAGAGGAACTAAAAAACCCTCAGTTTACTCAGAACTGGGTGTCTGCTTGCCAAATCAGTAGTTCTCAAACAAGAATGAACAGGTATTGCTTCTAAATATGCACACAGACTAGAAGCCTTGCTGCTTTTAAAAGGCTCAAAGCCTTATTAATACCCCATGAAACCTGATTATAAAGAGTGACGAAGCAAAGGCACGCAGCAGCCAGTGATCTCTGAGCTGCAGAAAGGAAACCAGGCTGAAGCACCAGCTCAGCGAGAGCCTTCTGAGAGCCTGGAGGCAGCAGGACAAGCACCTTTTCCCTTGGTCCTACTTTATTTAACAACAGTTTTACATGTGTCTCCTCCTCCTTACTAAACAAGTGTTGCCCTGGAAAGCACCACTCTACATCCTGCTGTTGGGTCCATCCCAGCCCTGTCCCTAATGGACATCACCTTTCCCTGGCCAGGAGTTTTAGGACAATGGGAAATTAAATGCCCTTTGTCCCTGATGTGGTGCTAAGGACAGCCAAGGACTACAGCATGCCCCAAGGAACGCCAGCCACCTTCCATGTATCTTCTCCTGCATTCACACATCTGTGCTTTGCTCCCACTAGAAGATCCACACTGTCCTCTTGCTCCACCAGCCTCTCCTGTCACTCCCCACACAAAGACCACCTCTACTCACCTAGTTCTTCATACTTCTTGCAGGCTTTGCTAAGGTTGACAGATGTGCAGACCTTCTCAACATCGTTCCAGTGACTTCTTCCACTGACGGCTGTCTGCAGAGACCAACCAAAAGCCCATGAGATGCCACACTCCAGGTTGATGTTACCCTGCTTCCCACCCCTAGCCATACGGCTGGACTAGCTCAGACCTGGATTCACCTGGAGCTGCACAGACAAAGTTTGAGGAGGCTTTAAAATTCACTTCATGTAAATTGCCCAGACTTAACACTAAATAACTGCAGAGGGACCAACACAACAATAGGGCTGCTGTGACGAGCAGAAGATCACTCCCTGGAAGCAAAGTCCACCAGTGTAAAGTGGCACCCAGTACACATCCATTCTATAGAAACTGGCTGCACATTCCTTATTTTACTGGGTTGAACAGGAGTGGAAAGCCACCCCCAATTAGCCAGTAAGTAGGCAATTAGCTTGAGACTGGCTCTTCTGGGCTTGTATTCAGGCTCCTCCAGCACACTGCCAGCATCTGCCTCCAGCAGAGACGTGTTTGCCCACCACTGAACTGGTTTTCTGCCCTATTTTTATGCCAGTCCCATGTGCTCACTTTGCTGTAGGCGATCTGTAGTGTTAGTGGGATTGCTTCTCTGTCTCCATCTATGCCCAGCCTTTTGCTGCCTGGACCTGCACAAAACAAGGAGCAAACGTCACACGGTGGCCTTTGATCCCCAGTCTTCAGCAGGCTACTGGTACAGTAGCACTCTCGGTACCTACAGAAAGAGGGAAACTGGTTTGCTGAACACAGCTGTGGGGCAAAAAGGCAAAAAGAAAAGGTGGCTTAAAAGTTGCCATAAAGCAATTAATCCAGAGCAGAAATTTCAACACAAAGCAGGAGGAGCAGCTCTGCTG